TTCCTTAGATTGTTACAGATCCAGTTCCTTAGTTGTTCGGACATACTTAACAACACTAAACCCAACCGGTTTATTTCGCAGCCAAATTGAAAAAAGATTTCAAAAGCCAACAGCTGACCGAATGTGTGAAAACGTGAATATTCCCCATCCATAAGTAAGCCAGGCATGCGCACAACATCTGACCGTAATTATTGATTTTTAGAGAAAGCGCATCATTGGTAGAATGTCAGACAGAGACAAATTCCCGTTTTAACATAATATCTATATTTCCAAATATGAGGGGCGCTCAAAAAGTATTAGAATATATTGGAATATTTGAACTAATTAAATATTGTAATTATTAAAAGGGAGTGACGATTTCAACGTAACAATACGTAGGTTACGTTTAAGGAAAATCTCATATTTATGCAGTGAAATCATTGGTTTAGGCAAAAGAAAAGCCGTTGCTGACGGAAAAACAAAAGAAAAGACGATTAGCGTGGGCAAAAGAACGGGCAATGTGGACTTTTGAAGACTGGAAAAGAATCATTTTTAGCGATGAATCAAAATTTGATGTTTGCGTGGGTGACCATAGATTACGTGTTATAAGAAACAAAAATGAAGCCTTTCACAAAGACTGCCTAAAGAGAAAAATAAAATTTCCATCAGGTGTTATGGAATGGGGAAGCATGTCTGGTTTCAGTGTTGGAAAACTGCACTTTATAGACGGAATTATAAACGCAGAAAAATATCAGAACATTCTTGAAACCAATTTGTTAGTGCCAATTCCAATTTTATCACCTGATGGAAACTTTACTTTTCATCAAGATTGTGCCTCCTGCCATACATCCAAGACCACAAGAAAGTGACTGCAGGACAACAATATTTTCGTCCTTGACTTGCCCTCCAGCAGCCCTGTTCTAAATAAAATCGAAACTGTGGCACAAGATGAAGCAGCAATTAAGAAATGATCCACAGCGCAACATTTCTGATTTGCGGGTAAAATTAAATATATGGGATTCTTTTACCGCGTAAGATTGCGAAAAGCTTGTTAAAACTATGCCTGATAGAATAAAAGCTGTTATTAAGGCAAAGGGAGATGCAACCAGCTATTGATGTGATTTGTCCGAACATTTATATGTCAATAAATATACATTATTATCAACATTAGCTTAGTTTTATTTATCAATATCAGTTTATTTGAAAGCAATATCACAAATATGATGTAAAACAATACATATTATGTCTTATAAATGAAAAACATGATATTGAATCCCTTAAGGAAATTTTCAAACTTTTACAAAAAATCAGTTGATGTCCGAACATTTTTGTGTTAGGGCTCGCATTTGGAAACCAAACCTTGTAAATGTTAATTATAAATGATAGATTTTAATATATTGTTAATGTAGTTCTTCAATTTAATATTTTAGTTTGTGTAAATTAACGTTTTCAATAAATTTGTTTGTCCGAACATTTAGTTGTTAGGGCTCGTATATAGCATGATTTTTGGCAAACATTTTAACTTGATAATATTCTTCGTTTTGAGTTAGGGTTTTAAATATTTCAACCCCCTATTAACCCTCTCTTTTTATTTAAATTCAATAGGCTTCATCTACTTAAACTTCATGTTGATATCGCCTTTCGTTTTTTTTAAATTTTTACCGCCTTTAAAGGCCCGTTTTTAAATCAGATTTTTTCAAAATCAAAGGGATTCTTCCCCTTATAGAGCTTGATTTTTACTAAAAATTTCAAGTTGATAGCTTTTATTGGTGTTTTACTTTATTAGACTCGACGAAAAGAGCCCTTGTTTATAGCGATACCGTATTTGCTGCGGTTGCGAGCCTAAACCGCTACGTGAATAAGAAACAAAGTTACAACGTTGCCACATATCAAAATAGGAACTAACCATTTTAAATACCTGGCTTTCCTTTTTACTTTCCTATCTGTATACATACAGTGTGTCTGAAAAAGTTGGCAACAAATGGGAAACTTTTTTATTATTAAGTTTAGGAAAAAACGTCATTCTTCATAAAAAGTTCTGTAAGGCCTAAAACCCAATATACGATAATCAGATATCGAAATTTTCCAATCGTATACGAGGTTTGTCAAAAAGTATGAATTTTGCTCAAGAGTAAAGTACCTTTATTTTCGACAATATCTAAAATTGTTATTAAGAAAAGTTGATTAGAATTGAAAACTACGTTTAAATGTCTAATTACAGCTATCTACGATAAAAACCAGGTTTTATTATTGTTTACAATTTCTTTAAGATCGAAAATGATCAAAAACTAGGTATCTAAATTATTGACCTGTACAAAATCAAGTTGCTGTGGAAATGTTTTGAAACATATCTTATGTCAGTATGCTTCAAAACCTCAGATATCGATAGAAATTAAAAATTATGTTCATGTGCACTTACTGATTACACCACTCATTTTCTCATTGCAAATTTTGCTATAAATATTGACTTTGTTTTGCACGAGTTATCAATAATACAATGTAAACAAATGCATACATAATTAAAATCATTTATTTTCAAAACACAACATCAAACATTACATGCATGAAAAAGAAGAATCCGGATTAACTTTTCCCTCACTGCACGTACGCCTCAACATATCCACCGTCCCTTTCTAAGCAGGTAATTGTTCTTCGAGAGAATTCTTTTATTGCATTTCTAATAACATCTGGAGTAACACCGTCACATGTTTCCCTAATTATTCTTTCCAAATGATCAATATTTTCAAACGGTCTTTTAAGGTATACCTTTTGCTTCAAGTATCCCCATAAAAAGAAGTCTAGGGGGGTCAGGTCCGGAGATCTTGGAGGCCAAGCAAAGTCCACAAATCTTCCAATTACTCTTCCGTTAAAAATTTGTAGAAGACATTCTCGAACATTTCTTGTACTATGGCAGGTTGCTCCATCATGTTGGTACCATGTACGTTGCCTTTCCATTATTGGTAGGTTATGAAGAAATTCAAGAATCTCATTATTTAAAAATTCCAGATAACGTTCAGCATTCATATTAGTTCGAAAAAAAAATGGTCCAATTATTCTATCTTTAAAAATTCCACACCATACATTTGTTTTAAAACAGTATTGGTCACGAGTTTGGACAGTGAAATTAGGATTAACATCACTCCACCAACGGCAATTTTGTGAGCTGACTACCCCATTAGAAGTGAACGTTGCCTCGTCCGAAAAAATTATGCACCGTGCCATATAATTATTATCTTCTAACTCCCCTTGGAACCAAGCACAAAATTCAAATCTATTAAAATCTCCTGCTCTTAGGGTATGAGTGAACTGGGGTTTGTAAGGTTTAAATTTGTTTGCTTTTAATATTCCTGCAACTACGTCTTTGCGCACACCAAGTAAAGCTGCCCTTTTTCTTATGGAATCTTTAGGATTTTCTATTGCTGAGAGCATTACTTGATTTTGAATTTCTTCAGTAGCAACCCATGCCTCATGTTTCTTTTTGAATTTATTCTCAACATTTCCGGAACACTTGAACTTTTTTATTATTTTACTTACTGTTGCAAAATGTACATTTTTATCAGGATGTCTGTTATTAAAGATTATGGCAGCTTCCCTATAAGTTTTGTAGTTATCTCCAACAATTAAAACAATTTCAATTTTCTCTTCAAGACTTAATTTCAACGGCATTTTTACTAGTATTTAAAAAAGTACAATTATTACAAACTGAGGTTTTGAAGCATACTGACATAAGATATGTTTCAAAACATTTCCACAGCAACTTGATTTTGTACAGGTCAATAATTTAGATACCTAGTTTTTGATCATTTTCGATCTTAAAGAAATTGTAAACAATAATAAAACCTGGTTTTTATCGTAGATAGCTGTAATTAGACATTTAAACGTAGTTTTCAATTCTAATCAACTTTTCTTAATAACAATTTTAGATATTGTCGAAAATAAAGGTACTTTACTCTTGAGC